CCTTCCCTAAAGACAGAGAGGTGACAGCCGCTTGCTCGGCCTCAGCCCATCAAATGCGCCCACTGGCAAAGCTCTCTGAATGATGTCAAGCTGCCTCGGTGGGCGGGGCTTGGCTGGGCCCCACCAAAGTCCCATTTCGCTATGCAGGACTGATCATCCGTCCACTTCTCGCTCATCTTCTCTGAGAAAAGGGAGGGAAGAAGCGCTTTATTGGCTTTCTCGGCAACAGGAGACAGACAGCCTATCATCATAACGGGCAGGAAGATTAAATATTAACAACCAATCGATGAAGAGGGATCAGATTCAGAGCACCGACACTGCAAACATTTACCGGACCAACAGGATCGCGGCCAGAGTTTCCTAGCGTCTGGATTTGCAGTCTGCTGGAGTATCGTGTATGTGTCTATGTGGAGGGGTGGTTCTCATTCAGAGCCGCATATGCTCAGCACTCGGTTTTTTTAAAAAAAACAAGTATGCACTCAGATAACCCTGCCTCCGTATCAGAGAAGAATTATGCAAAGCAAGACCACTTGCATCTGTGCCATTTAAAAATGTTTGTATCTCTTACCCTGTGTCGCGCAGGTTATGGCTTCTTCCACTAATATGAACGTAAGAGCTCTGCTGGATCAGAACCAAGGCCCATCTAGCTCAGTGTCATGTTTCCAATGGCAGGCAGCTTCTGGGAAGCCCCCCACAATGGCCATGAAGGCAGCCGCCCTTCCCGGCTCCGACAACAACTCCAGCAGTTCGTACTATCAGGACCACCATCTCTGAACCCAGTGGCCATGACGGCTGGCCGAAAAGCCGCTGATAGATCTCTCCTGTTCAGGTCTCTCCTTTTAAAGCCATCTAAAGCGAAGGTAAATCCCATAGTTAATTAGCCATCACTTGAAGAAGTGCTTTCTTCAACCTGTCTGTTCCTGAATCTAATCGCCCGCCCGCCACATCCCAATTTCTTTGGCATGCCCTGAGCTCTAGCATTGTAGGAGAGAAACGTTTCTCCGTGCCACGAACCATTTTATAGATTTCCATCTTTGCTAGCTTTTTCCTGAACTAAGAAACCCCAAACTGCTTTGGCATATCATGGTCCGACTGCCCCCTTCTGCAAATTCACTAAGTATAGGCAACACGCACATACACGGCATTCACTTCCAGGCAAAGACTGCTGGGATTCTATGACCAAAAGTAAGTTTCCTGTTTGTGTACAGTGGGAGAATGCATACAATCCTCCCATTTTTTATCCCCCCCCCTTTTTGCTATGGGTCGGTCTCTGTGTGACTTCAGCGGGATAGATTACTAGTCTTCGACTTCAGGGTGGTATCACCTGTGACAGGAAAGGAGCCGCAATGGAACTGTGATGCCTTTCCTTAAGAACAAACCCAAAACAGTCCTCCGAAACTCTTCCTTCGGCTCCTTTTGTGCGTTTGGTTGTTCTTAAGACAGGGCTTCTTGGTTTTCATCAAACCAAGGGGTTGCCTGTAACCCCTGTCAACTATGGATCTGTGGGTGGCCCTGTGCATCTTCTTATACCTTTCAAGTGACAGAAAAAGCAGGAGCTACAACAGCACAGGTGACCGTTGCACATGTACCTGCCGCAGCCCTTCGAGTGGCATCCAGGGCCGTTACCCAAGCACCACAAAAAGATGATGATGCTCAAGGCTCTGCTTCACGTAAAGCCCTCCCCACCGCCGGAGCCTTCGAGTCAGTAACTGTTCTTCACTTGCGCACTTCTCCCTTCAAAGGATGCTCCACCAGGCTTTTGACCTCAGACCCGCACCAGCCTCTTCAAGGTGCCCCGCATTATCCTTTGTTTTAAAGCCCTTACCCAGGCTCCAAATGTATATCACACTCAAGGTGGAATAGCGATAGACACAGGACCCACCCCAGTGGCATTTAGAAGAGAGCATCCATTTGCACCAGGATTCCACCCCCACCCAGGCCCGTAGCTACGGTGGGGCCAGTGTTCCCTCTAAGCTGTGGAGACTTGTGAGCAAAAATTCTACTTTGCGAGCTACTGGCATTAAAGTTGTGAGCGAGCGGTTTGGCTGCGGCATAACTTAGTTTGCTCTGGAGCTACCGTTCCCGGGCGGAGACAGAAAGGTGTGAGCCAGAGGCTAAAAACTGTGAGCTAGCTCACACTAACTCAGCTTAGAGGGAACACTGGGTGGGGCCCCTGGGGGCTTGCCCCGCTGACTTCTGGGGGCCCCCAACTTCCCATCCAGTTCACCCCCCCCCCTGCAAAATGCATCCATGGCCCTGGAATGTTTAAATGGCCTTGGAACTTCACAAGCACAGCAGATCTCCCTCTCCCCCCCCATTCAGATGTTCTTCCCAAACTCTTCTCCCCTTTGCCTTAACCAGTTTCAGAAGGGGGGCAGGGGGGGGCTGCCTCTTTCCAGCCGTTTTTCTTACTCAAAATTGCTCTCCCAAGAGACCTTGCTGTTACGCTGCAGCTGACTTCAGGCGACCCCGCAGGGTTTTCAAAGCAGAAAATGTTCAGAGGTGGTTTGCCATTGCCTGTGTGTAACGACGCTGGACTTCCTTGGTGATCTCCCATCAAAGTGCTAACCAGGGCCAACATGGCTTAGCTTGGAAGTAGAGGGGTTGAATATGCACGTACCTGTATCTTCTGCCCCCCTGCCCCTGGCAAAAGAGCAGCGGGGAGGAGGGTTTTCGGTCAAAAAGGGG